GGTAACTGTAACGGAATACAGTTACTCATATTTTGTATTTTAAATACGTAACGGCGGTACATGTATTCCGTTACTCCCCAACACTGGTTATAGCTATGGAGCTGAAAGTCCAGTGATGTCATTTGTATGTAACACAAACAACACAGCAAATGAAAACATTGAGAAGGTGCTATACCTGCTGCTAAATCGATGGTGAACGTGCACTAACATGTTGCTTTGTGTGAAACTATTTCTCTCCTGTGCTTTCAAAAAGGGGCAGTTTTGATATTTGTGAAGGAGCTGCTCCTTCGTGCCACTGACTGACCTATCGGCAGTATGCAGTCTGTTGACGGCACATTTTCAGTGGCATGCATCACCTGGAACCCAGAGCAGTAGGTACTAAAAAGGTACCTGGTACCAGGTGCTACCAAAAGCTGGAAAGCCCTAAAAAAAGAATTGAGTCAAGCTGGGCCCAGTAGGTACTAGTGGGAAAGGGCTATAGGAAGGCCAGCCACCCTTTGAAGAAAACTCATCTCCACCTTTTAGTATCTACAATGTCCTTCTTCCAGTCAGTACCCACAACTTGTGACCGTAGGTGAGCGTAGGGACACAATTACCTTTTATTTTGTTCATAAAAATTATAAACATGGTGATGAAGGGCAGCCGTGGCAGAGTCCTACCCTAACCCTATACTTATTGTCCAACTTATTGTTGACAATGCGGCCCAAGCTCTTGCAATGGTTGTTCTCCGACTAAATGGCTTGTGGGAACAAGTCAGACAACCCACACAGCCAAAGCACCTCATAAAGGAGGGATGCAAATGATCACCTTCTCTTCACAAAGTTCACAAAACCTATGAGAACCCAGATGCACCTTCAAATATCTTTGAAAGACCTGATCCAGCATTCTGTAACCACGATAAAAACCACAATGTTTCTCCTGAATCTGAGGTTAGACTAACGATGAAGTCAGCAGGACCCCACTCACACTATACAGGTCGCGTCCAAATTCATGGGCTGCATCCTCCTGAGGCCGCATTTGTAGACCGATTACGTCACAGCGACGCGCCGAAGGCTGTCCAAATTCGTAGACTCCTCAACAAATGCGTCCTCCTTTTCCCCGAATTTGAAGGATGGGTCGGGTGTGTCCTTCGTGGCCTACCATATCCCAGAATTCATAGTTTCCAGCAATGACGGCCGCTACTAAGTTTTAAAATTACTCTTACTAATCTTTCTGGGTCACAAAATAAACTTTTAACATATTTTCAGGCGAGAATGTAGCTGTGTAAACATCAAATATCTGCTCGGTTTATGAAGACACCACATATTTGCAAAAGTTTTAGAGACGTCTGCTACCCACCAGCTCGATAGCTAGCCGGGAGCTCGAGGGTTACTGAAGCCGCAGAGAACGGCACAACTCCCGGTACATCATGTTCAGATCACCGCGGACTTTTGCTACTCAGGTTAAACGTAATATATAAGTCACTTCAACAACCTAAAAATGTTATTGTTGGGCTTTTTTCAGTGTTTTGTTTGTTCGTGAGTAAATCGGTTTGGCTGAGATTAAAGTTATTAGATTAGATTAGATAAAATAAAACTTTATTAATCCCCCGGGTGGTTTTCACACAGCTGAATAAACGTCAAACAGAAAACTGATTAAACAGAAGTGTGAGATCGTCGAGAATTTACGCCAGTGTCCTGTTATATTTTAGATAGCAAGGAGCAGACGGCCGAGTTTATTAAACTCCACCGAGACAGCGGTGACGCAAATCAGAAGGCTAGACCGTCCAATTTCACGGCCGTTTACTTCCGGCCTACCCGACCTTCCTGAGGACCACGTAGACCGCGAAGGCCGGGTCCTCAGGAGGATGCAGCCCATAAATTTGGACACGACCTGTGTGAGTAGAGGACTGCTTTCTCTTACTAAGTTGCCCGACAGTGTGCCAGAATCACTTTGTGGCAGATTGAAAAATGCAGCAATGGAAAACTTGCCAAATATTTATCTGCTAATGTCAAACAGCTTACTCAAACACAGCTGATTTACAATAAATGCTGATTGAAGAATGGGATGCCATCTTTATGACCGAGCTGGTGACCAGCATGACGAGGTGCCAGGCTGCTGTGCTCCACACGCTACTGAGGTTTATCAAATAAATGAATTGTTAAATTGCTTGTTTCTGCAGATTTCAATCATCTAATTCAATAAACCACAAAAGTCACAATCAACTCCACAGCAGAATAATCTGTTTGGCAATGGAAGTTTTTCATGGGTGCAACCCACTCAACTCTGCTGCTCAACCCACCAGTGGATTTTTCTTACAAATGTAGCTCAATTTAAGGGGAAATAAACAGAATTTCCAATGATCTAAGCATTGTTACAATAAATAAACAATTCACCAAATGATATTTTTCCTTTGTTTTTGTGCTGAACTTAAGATGGATACACTGTGGTCATAAAGACATGAGTGACAACAAAACCAAGATAGGCTGTGGCATTTAAACAATGCTGCACTGCTTTGCTGCCACATGATTGCAGTATATGTAACAGTATACCTAATAAAGTGGCCAGCCGGTGTACAGTGAATTATGGCTTTTAGTAGAACACTGATAGTAATTGCAGTTTTTTGTGTGCAGGTTGGACAGTAAAGGGACGTCATTGCTGCAGCTCGATACTGCAGTTATTTTTACCTGCACAAAGCACTGCAGCCATTAATCCAGTAAAGCAAGCGTGAGAGCCACGGGACTGAATCCGTCCAACGACATGCAACTGCAGGTGCCTTAGCTAATAATCCACCACAGATTAAAGGTACTATGAAGACTTAATTAGTTTGAGAAGAACAACAGGGATTAGGCAGGCTTACCAGGGGGGTCTCTTAGCTTTGTAAGTTTCACTTAGCATGCAAATCCTTCAGAGCAGATGGGCACGTTGTAAAATGACCTGATGTTCAGAGGTTTTAGCTTAGCAATAATTAAATGAAATTAAAAGATGCGAAGCCTTGTTGCAACTCTGTAACTCAGGATGAGAATTCTAGCAAAATAACGAGATTGGTCACTGGTATGATTGCTGTCCAAGTTTTGAATTTACAATGCAGCCTGCAGGGGGCACTAGAGGAACAGAGACTGAAATGCACAAAAGACTGAATCCAGTCCAATCAGATCATTGTTTGGTTGGAAACACCAGTGTGGAATAGAGTCAGTGCAGGTTTTACAAAGTATGAAACAGGAATGAACATTTATAAAAGAGTATGTTCTAATAACAGAATCAGCTTCTTACAAAATCTTAATCATCTTTTAAAGACTTTAAAAGCACCTCAGATGGTCATTATACCCCAGCAGTTGTATAATATGTTTAATCTGTACAACTGTGGAGGGCCAGGAGTGACAAAATGAATTAATTAAATATGCAATTTAATAATTAATTGAATGTTTCATTCATTAATTAAAATTAGAATTGATTAATTGAATAAATATTTCAATAATTAATTACATGCCCATTCATTTGATTTAAAACATTTAAAAAACACTTTTTAAAATTTATTTCAAATTGTATTTAACTATTGACACATTTAATTAATTATTTATTTATAAAATTTTTTAATTAATCATTGACACAGTTAATTAATTATTCTATTATGTATTTTTTAAATTCATTTTGTAATTAATTAATAATTAATTTAATAAATAATTAAATGTTTCATTCATTCATTAAAATTAGAATTGATTAATTGAATAAATATTTCAATAATTAATTACATGCCCATTCATTTGATTTAAAACATTTAAAAAACACTTTTTTAATTTATTTCAAATTGTATTTAACTATTGACACATTTAATTAATTATTTATTTATGACATTTTTTAATTAATCATTGACACAGTTAATTAATTATTCAATTGTGTATTTTTTTAATTCATTTTGCCACTTCTGACCCTCCATATACAAAAAGGTATACAAATAATTACAGTTTTGCATGTAACCCTGTGAATAATGCACACATTTTACTTTTATTTACCAGTTAAAATCATTTTACATTTGGTAACTTTTTTAATGAAATAAAATATAAAAATATTGAAAGTAGATAAATAATCAAAGTACGAGTCTCTGATGTGAGAATGTATTCACACCAGGTTTATTATGCTTATTCGGGATTTTAAAAATACAAATTTTTCATTAAAAAAAAGATGGGATAGTGTTCCAGGAGTGTATTTTGTGTCCAGTTCAGTTCAGCTTCAGCTTATTCACAACAACAGTCACCTCGAGGTGCTTAACACTTAAAGGCAAGGATGCTTCAATCTTAGAGATAAACTGCAACAATCACAGTCTCCCATCTGAGGGAAAAACTCAGAACCATCTGGAAACACCAGTATACTGATACACAGCAGCGTTTGAGTACTAACAGCAGTATTGGAATTTCTACTCATAAATGTAATATATTGCACATAATTCATTCCGGTTTTGTAAAAGTACTCCAGTAGCTTACTCTCTCTGCAACATGGCCTGATATGTATTGTTGTATAATTTCACAATATACACCTGCCGAGAGACCCAAACCTCATCCTAATGTAGACACAAACAAGAGCAAACAGCAAAGTTCAGTTTACACTTTAAGTACTTTCCATCTAACCAATTAATAAACGACTTGCTTTACCTCCTGAGCTACAGCCGCCCCAACAGCATGTAAGCATGCCATCTCTGCAGGTATCATTCAGCAGCAGCCTTTTCATGCAATAATAATTTATGGTAATATGGTCAAACTTAGGTAAGGCAGTGGGATGGCAAGCTGCACAGGCCTGGTGTTTAAATCCAGTGGTTAGCTGGGACCTTTCTGTTTGGAGTTTGTCTGCATGAGTTCCAGATACATGCATGAGGTTAGGTTAACTGGTTTACCTAAACTGGCCATAGATGTGAATGTTTGTCTCTCTGGGTTAGTCCAGCAATAGACTGGCAACCTGACGGGAGAGGTTGGTCTGTTTGAACAGCTAATAGCAGACGTACAGACAAACACAGTTTTATAGTTTTTGTTAATTTAGCTCTTATTTTTATCTATTTCTATCACAATATGTATTTTATTTATCACATTATACGATATAGAGGGTTCAGAACAGTTTCATAATAAAACAGTACAAACACAATCACAGACACATTCTCTGCAGTCTCCCCAGGCCGGTTCTATTGGCACATTAAACCAAATAAACACAGATCAAAATAAAGACTTGAGTTAGTTTTGTAAGCACGTAATATTCTTTCAATGTTCATTCATTTCTTGTTTATAGATCCCAAACAGCCAACACATTCTCTTCCCATGTCAAATACAGGTCATTCTCATCGCTGGGCTGTAGCATGATGAATATTTATTAAAGCAGCAGGTGTGCTTCAGTTATGCACAAGGTGTCCTTTGGCGTTTGTCATTCCTCAGTGTAAAGAGTCACATTGTATCCAGAGTCACAAGCCCAAACCGAGTAGCTTTTAGTGCAGGCGGGTGAAAACAAAACAGCAAGTGT